GAAATACGAAATGTGCTGTGATTGGTTAGCTGGGCCAGTGTGTGTTGTGATTGGTTAGCTGGGCCAGTGTGTGTTGTGATTGGTTAGCTGGGCCAGTGTGTGTTGTGATTGGTTAGCTGGGCCAGTGTGTGTTGTGATTGGCTCCACTCGGCGTCTGGTCGGGAAATGTCATGCCCCTTACCATAGCCGCCTGCGAGCTTCAGTGTAAATATTGTGTCAAAATCAAACCAATTTGAGCGTGATTTAAACCTGGATGATTGTAACCACTCTAAGTTCGTCTCCCTTGGGAAAGCTAGAATGTCTCCGACATAGTGATAACACTCGTTGCCTTCTCTAGTGCAGCTCAACCAGGTCTCGTCCCATTCGTCGGTATTTGTGATTTCACAAAACCCGGAAAATATGCGTTGTAGTCCAAACGAGTTGTTCGTTGTAGTTTTTGAAAAGTGATTTCTGTTCAATAAAATATCTCCTTTTGGAGTGGACATTAAGCTTTGTAACTTTGCAGATCTTTTTTATGCTCAAACAGCAACATTTCAGACTAAATAAAGTGGAAAAAGCATAATAGGACCTCTTTAAAGCAAAAGGCAAAATCATTGTTTTTAATATATGTTCATTTTGAATTGACTAATTCTATGCAAACATATTGTTGGTCTGATGATGTTCAACAAAACACAATGTGACCCTTTACTCTTCAAGGTCATCAGACCATTACTGGTGCATATTAAGCACATTCATAAGAGCAATTTAATCATCACCTGGTGCAAAAGACTCAAATTCATGAAGGACAGGAAGAACTTTAGTGTTCCAGAACATAGATTCATCCATGCTGTCATCTCCTGTGTCTCCATGCCCAAGCTTGACTTCTACAGCAGAATGACATGGAGTGGGTGTCAGACAGACAGACAAATATATAAACAGACAGACAGACAGATGTACTTGATTGATCCCGGTAGGGAAATTCAGAAAAGTTCACTTGAGCAGTTCTTAAAGCATATGAATGTAATACAGGATGTTCAGCATAGCATGAAAAGGTCAGAGCTTTACACCCACAAGCTTTTTCATTAGTGTCTGTTCTGTTCAAATGTCTCTGTGAGCATTTGCATTGTGGACGAGCTGCAGGAAGCAGGGGGTTGCGAAAACAACAGATCAAACGGCTATCAACTGGCATCTGGACAAAGAACCTTGAGAAACTGCAGCAGCAAAAGTGGTTTAGGTTTCCAATCCGATCAGATGTTTGCGGCTTCTAGCAAGATTGTCAGACCTTTGCCTTGTTTATCACGCGTCGGTTTCAAGTGCAGATATATAAATTATAGATATAGCAATATACCTGGTTTTGATCCTCTTGCACTGGATACATCATTTTGCAGTATCCTATCAATCACAAACAAATAAATGTTCATACAGAGCAGACTGAGAGCATAAATGACTGGTTAGATGAATTACAAAAACCTAGATGTTTTTTTTTTTACATTTATATTTAACCTATACTTTTTTTTTTTTTTTTTACAAAGTCTGAAGATAAAAATGCTTAATATGCATCAACATAAACGCATGTTCAAAAGAAATCTAAAACATTTATATATTTATTAATTTATAAATGGCAGTATTATCATAGAATTTTCCTTGCAGACACAAGAGGTCACTGTTGTGATATTCTGATGTAGCCTTTCATTGCCCAAATTTCTCTTTATATCTTTTTTTTTTTTTTTTTTTAATTTCAGGTGGTTTCAAAATCAGTTACTGGTGGAAAATAGATAACTTTCAAAATGTACTTGTGTAAATGTTCATTAAAATATGCGTGCCTATAAGAAATACTACAACAGACAGGAAACCACAGGTTCATGTGCTTATCTCAGAGCTAGTCATGCACATTGTGATATTCTGATTTAGCCTTTCATTGCCCAATTTTCTTTTTTTTTTTTTTTTTTTTTTTTTTTAACTGTCAGTGGTTTCAAAATCAGTTACTGGTGGAAAATAGATAACTTTCAAAATGTACTTGTGTAAATGTTCATTAAAATATGCGTGCCTATAAGAAATACTACAACAGACAGGAAACCACAGGTTCATGTGCTTATCTCAGAGCTAGTCATGCACAGTCACGGTGAATTTTATCTCAAATATCAAGATATCCGTTAACACGATTTAAGTCTTTACTGTCATTAAGAGCAGGTTAAACTGACATATTATGTCTCAAATGTACTTGTACTGCTTACAGTCCTCAATTTTTATAGTACAGTATAATGTCATCATTCATCTTTAGCATATGTCACATGGGTATTTTTTAAGGATTGAGAAGAAATTATGGTACAATTGAGCATATTTGTGGCATTGATCATGTTTGGGCTTTGTACTGTCTGGATAATGCCTCATTGTTGATGGGATGCCTCGGCCGAGACGTGATCTCATCGTGTGAATCTCAAATGAGACTGTACTGGTGGTCAACAGACCAGTCAGCCAGCCAACCACAAACTGCCTGCATAATGTAATATTGCTCCATTAGTTACTATAACAAGGATATGGTAGAGATATAGAGGGAGAGAGAGGGCTTGCTGCCTGACTTTAACTTACTATTAAATTCCATAGTGTCAGTAAATGCATCCAAATTGGAAGCATTGCGATTTTCATAAGTGTGCATTCTGGGCAACGTATTAATGAGGGCGCTTGGATTTGAATAAACAAATCTTTTAATGTGGTCTTACTGATGGTTTACACAATTCTGTTGCATTTCAAAAATGGATGTACACAAAAGAGAATAGCTTTTAACTCTGATAACTTTGGTAACGGAAGGATTAGTGTTGGGTTCGAGTCCACCTAAGTTGAGTCCAAGTCGAGTCTGAGACAAGTCCGAGTCCAAAATGGGCCGAGTCGGACTCAAGTCCGAGTCCCAAACAGCCGAGTCCGAGTCCAACGAAACTCTATTATTTATTAGTATCTTAACATTGTTTTAACCTTTACAACTACAAAAACGCAATATCCATTTAAATGTAACAAAAGCAAACCTCTATTGCATCTTGCATTTTTTTTATTAATAATTAGTGTCCTGCTTTGCTTAGCAAACTTAAAGTCATGTAACAGAAGTTATGGCTGAATTGATATATGTATTGTGACATATTTCAGAGTGAAACAGGTTTTAGAATGTGAAAAATTAAGGGGCGGGACTTGACTTAAAGTAAATGTATAAATTCAAGAGTGGGGGTAAAGGAGTAGGTATCTTGGTGAATGGGACCTTAAGAGCAGAAAATGCACCTTTTATCTCAATAAAAAACAAGCTTTATATAATTTTTATAATTTTTGAAGAAATATGAGTTTTGAATAATCAAAATTAGCTTGTGTCTGCTTATTCTATTCACCAGTGTTTGAACCATTAAAAAAGAAACTGCATTTTAATTTCTGGGTAAAAAAAAAAAAAAAGAAAAATTAATGGACGCCAAAGTACACGGATCCCTTAGACAGGGCATTTTGAATTTTTTCTTGGATGAAAATGAGGTTGTGAGGGATAAACCTAGTCTGTACAATGGCACACACTGTGTATAAAAGCCCTACCTATACTTTCCATAAGTCACAGACAACTCACACCTGTTTTATTTTTGAATGCATTTATAGTTACATTAATTATAATAGATTACATTATGTAAGGAATAACTGATGATGGGCCGTTGAATTATTAGAAAATAATGCACCCATAAAAACTTTTGTCCCAAAGATGTTAGAAAAATTATTTTTCTTTGAAGCTAGAAACTGCCACTAATACAAAAGCAAAAAATAATAAACTAATGTAATAAAACATTCTCAGTCTTACTGAAGGCAAGTAAACACTCCAAGTATTACTTACAAGATAAATGATAAATAAATATATTACTCAAAAATATAAATTAAATAGTTTTTTTTAGTTTTTCAGAAATAGAAATAGCCTACTACAGACATTTCATGAAGTAATAAATGTAAAAATAATCTTCACTGTATACATTAAATATAGATGATTCTTATTCAAGTTAATAAGTGATACAGTCAAGAGCAGTGAGGGATTTTCTCCTTTTCTTTTGTTTGATTAACATTTATGACGCTGTCGGCGGCTGCAGGTTTACGCTGTTGCTTTAAGATCTGACGCATAGATCAAATATTTTGACACATCTGTATTTCTCCCAACTGTTCAAGTTTACTTAAGACAAAACCGACTGCATTTACATGAATAGTCTCCAAGACGGGCATTTTGACATAACTTTTCGTGTAAGTGTGTAGCAATAACAGAACGTAAGAGAACTTGAGCGAAAGAACTCGGCATTCGCACGCTGACTGAGAGGCGCATTCTGTGAGCGCGCTTTCGGTGTGTGTGAGCACAAAAACCCGTCGGCTTTCAAGTACTGGACAAGACTTAAAAACACATACAAATACTGAATATCACTTTTTCACTTTCGTGATAATGCATTGAGCCAGTGACAATTCCGTCAACAGTACCTGGACTCGGTTGGAGTCCAAAAGGCTCGAGTCCGAGTCAAGTCTGAGTAAAAATGCATCCGAGTCCGTGACAAGTCCGAGTCCTTTAAAAAAAAAAAAACTGTACTCGAGACCGGACTCGAGTCCGAGTACGAGTCTGAGTACCCCAACTCTAGGAAGGATTGACACCACTGTGATCTACTGATCCTCAGAATGATTAACAATAAACAAGTTCAGTCTCTGAACAGGGTGTCCTGAGAGTCAACAAACATGAAAATGGTTTATTACTCTTCTTTGGCACAGAGCATAAATCGGTTTACTGAGGGAGTTTGATGATCCGTTGACAGTAGAGGTTTTTGTTATGTAGCAAAGGGACAAATGCCTGATGTGAGTCCCAGTCATAAACATGCTGCTTCAAAGCTACCCATCTACAGAGGTTTCAAACCTCTAAACATGTGTTCAATAAAATTACAAATGTAAGAGTACATTAAAAGAACAATTTTGGCACAGAGCATAAATCGGTTTACTGAGGGAGTTTGATGATCCATTGACAGTAGAGGTTTTTGTTATGTAGCACAAAGGGACAAATGCCTGATGTGAGTCCCAGTCATAAACATGCTGCTTCAAAGCTACCCATCTACAGAGGTTTCAAACCTCTAAACATGTGTTCAATAAAATTACAAATGTAAGAGTACATTAAAAGAACAAAAACCTTCAAGTGCACATAGAAGACAGCAAAAGAGATGTTTGTGCTCAAAAGCATACCTGTGTTTAGTAAGTATGTGCAGGTCTGTTTCAGAGGAAGAATTTGTTGTATGCTCTGTAATATCAGAACATTGCAACTTTTCTCTGTCACCTGGTTGGTCTGCTCCAATCCTTGCCTCTAGAGACATATCTGAATAGGCACACAACGACACAGCTTAGCTAAAGAATAACAAAAACGCATATAATAATACATATAATCAACACATATTGTTTATGTTTTTGAGAGAAATCTCTTACGCTCACCAAGGACGCATTAATTTAATAAAAAATACAGTAAGAACAGAACAGTAATATTGTGAAATATTATAATTTAAAATAACTGTTTTCTAATTTAATATATTAAAACCGTATTTTTAGCATTCTCATACGCTGATATGGTGCTCAATGTTTACGAAAAAATATCATCAACATTATCTATAAATATGATAAAATGCTGAAAACTGTTGTTCCATGAAGTAATAAATGTAAAAATAATCTTCACTGTATACATTAAATATAGATGATTCTTATTCAAGTTAATAAGTGATACAGTCAAGAGCAGTGAGGGATTTTCTCCTTTTCTTTTGTTTGATTAACATTTATGACGCTGTCGGCGGCTGCAGGTTTACGCTGTTGCTTTAAGATCTGACGCATAGATCAAATATTTTGACACATCTGTATTTCTCCCAACTGTTCAAGTTTACTTAAGACAAAACCGACTGCATTTACATGAATAGTCTCCAAGACGGGCATTTTGACATAACTTTTCGTGTAAGTGTGTAGCAATAACAGAACGTAAGAGAACTTGAGCGAAAGAACTCGGCATTCGCACGCTGACTGAGAGGCGCATTCTGTGAGCGCGCTTTCGGTGTGTGTGAGCACAAAAACCCGTCGGCTTTCAAGTACTGGACAAGACTTAAAAACACATACAAATACTGAATATCACTTTTTCACTTTCGTGATAATGCATTGAGCCAGTGACAATTCCGTCAACAGTACCTGGACTCGGTTGGAGTCCAAAAGGCTCGAGTCCGAGTCAAGTCTGAGTAAAAATGCATCCGAGTCCGTGACAAGTCCGAGTCCTTTAAAAAAAAAAAAAACTGTACTCGAGACCGGACTCGAGTCCGAGTACGAGTCTGAGTACCCCAACTCTAGGAAGGATTGACACCACTGTGATCTACTGATCCTCAGAATGATTAACAATAAACAAGTTCAGTCTCTGAACAGGGTGTCCTGAGAGTCAACAAACATGAAAATGGTTTATTACTCTTCTTTGGCACAGAGCATAAATCGGTTTACTGAGGGAGTTTGATGATCCATTGACAGTAGAGGTTTTTGTTATGTAGCACAAAGGGACAAATGCCTGATGTGAGTCCCAGTCATAAACATGCTGCTTCAAAGCTACCCATCTACAGAGGTTTCAAACCTCTAAACATGTGTTCAATAAAATTACAAATGTAAGAGTACATTAAAAGAACAATAAACCTTCAAGTGCACATAGAAGACAGCAAAAGAGATGTTTGTGCTCAAAAGCATACCTGTGTTTAGTAAGTATGTGCAGGTCTGTTTCAGAGGAAGAATTTGTTGTATGCTCTGTAATATCAGAACATTGCAACTTTTCTCTGTCACCTGGTTGGTCTGCTCCAATCCTTGCCTCTAGAGACATATCTGAATAGACACACAACGACACAGCTTAGCTAAAGAATAACAAAAACGCATATAATAATACATATAATCAACACATATTGTTTATGTTTTTGAGAGAAATCTCTTATGCTCACCAAGGACGCATTAATTTAATAAAAAATACAGTAAGAACAGAACAGTAATATTGTGAAATATTATAATTTAAAATAACTGTTTTCTAATTTAATATATTAAAACCGTATTTTTAGCATTCTCATACGCTGATATGGTGCTCAATGTTTACGAAAAAATTATTTCTAAATATCATCAACATTATCTATAAATATGATAAAATGCTGAAAACTGTTGTTCTGCTTAATATTTTACATTTTGGTGGAAACCATGATCAATTTTTCAGGATTCTTTAATGAATATTTGAAAACAAATGGGTTTTAAACAGAATTTTGTTTTTGTAAAATTCTTTAAAAAAAACTTGCTGACTCCAAACTACATATATACATACGCAGACAATTTGTTTTAAGTTTGAATAAACAGAAGCTTAACCGGAAAAGTTGCATTCATGTAAACTTTTTACAGTCTAGCACTGTCCTTCAGCGTCATTGAACTTTTTGAATGATTTTATTACTTACTCAGAATAAAATTCAATCTAGCAAACTATTGACAGGACAAACACGCATTTAGTTGTTTCAATACAAACAAACTCAGGGCATACAGAGCAGAGTTACATCCTGGGGGACGTAAACTGATTTATATCAGATTTTTTTTAAAGTGTCTATTTATTTTGGTTCAGTGTGAAATACTTTATCAGTTAGCTGACTGTCTCTTCAGAGGCATTGACAAAGGACACAATGAAGAGGGTTATCAATCTGCCTGACAGGTAAACATGGACTATTACTTTTTTCGGTAACATTTTACAATAAGGTTCATTAGTAACATTAGTTAACAACATTAGTAAACGAACTAAGAATGAACAATACTTCTACAGCATTTATTAATCTTAAAAGATTAATAAATAGTGTAATAAATGCATTGTTCGTTCATGTTAGTTAATACATTAACTAATGTTAACAAATGACACCTTATTGTAAAGTGTTACCCTCTTTTCATTGAAAGGAGAAAAAAAAAGAAAACAAACAGTTTAATAAAACACTGTTTTATTTATTTTCTTACTCTTTGTGTTTGGTGTCACGGGTGGTAGCCTGTTTATGGATGCTGCTCTAAGCAGTTTGGCTCGAGAACCTCCTGATCCTATTCTTGTATTCCCTCGTTCAGCTGGGGGTTTGGGGAGAGTTGCTTCATCAACACCGCCATCCTCATCCAGGGACACAGACAGCCTGGGTTTCTGGGATTGAGAGAACTCTTGAATTACTGTTTCCTGTTTTCGTTTGAATAGTCAGACAAAGTTTTGAAAGGCTCCTTACATGTTCCAGTGGGCTGAGACGAGTTCCAGAGCCTGGCCTGGAGTCAGGAGCTTCAAAATGTTGGGCATGTAGACTAGAAAAGAAATTTGTGAAGGCAATTAAAACCAGCATACTAGTTTTATAAGAATAATCAAACAGCTAATGTTACAATTCAAGCACTTTAAAGAGTGCAACAGTCTGGTTCTGGAAGTAAAAATTCCATTCATTTTCTAAATAGTGGAACTGATTTTTAACAATAATTTGAAAACAGGCCTACTGTGAGCTACAAAGTTGTTAATTGATGATTGAATCATGCCTTATAACTCTTAAATGAAGAGTTCTTAAAAATCCCTATGAGAAAAAAAAATAAATAATAAATGGAGGCCTGGAGTCAGGAGCTTCAAAATGTTGGGCATGTAGACTAGAAAATAAATTTGTGAAGGCAATTAAAACCAGCATACTAGTTTTATAAGAATAATCAAACAGCTAATGTTACAATTCAAGCACTTTAAAGAGTGCAACAGTCTGGTTCTGGAAGTAAAAATTCAATTCATTTTCTAAATAGTGGAACTGATTTTTAACAATAATTTGAAAACAGGCCTACCGTGAGCTACAAAGTTGTTAATTGATGATTGAATCATGCCTTATAACTCTTAAATGAAGAGTTCTTAAAAATCCCTATGAGAAAAAAAATAAATAATAAATGGAGAAAATTTTTTAGTACTTCAAGAACCAAGGCCACTGAAAAAGTGGATGGGCTCTGTTGCACTCTATAATCAAAATTCATTCTAAATATTATAATGAGCATGATACATTCTGAACAAGGGATGAATACATAAATCTATCATCTTCAATGTGGTTTTACCTGAATGCAGACGGTGGTCGTCCATCACGTGCACGAGAAGATGATTCTCCAAAGAGCTGCCGATGCTTCTCCTGAGGTGTGAAAGGCCGCTGTGTGGCAAGAGTTCTGAGAGAGCGACGAGCTTCTGACACTATCTCAGCACTCGTCTGTCTCCTGAGGCCAGTGCTCCTGTAGACATGCTCACTTTTGTCCTGAAGCTCCATTAAAGACATATTTGATCCATAGGGGTGTGTACCAGTATCAAGGGCCCGAAACCTTGTCCATTATCCTATAACCAAAATTGGCTGGAAAAGATGCATAACTATAGATAATGAAGGAGAAAAATGACCAAAATTAACTGCTTCTTGTAAATATAAAGATTTAGCTGTCCCAGAAATATGTAGCAGACTTTTAATTGTATATGTTTCTGACATTCTCCTCTTTATTACTTCAGTCTACATAGCCTATTACAGCAAGTGGTTTGCTGCCCTGTAGGACTTGTTTTCGATTTTAGTACTTTTTAAAATGCATCCCACACACAACCGATGTCATATCATCCAGGGTTGCGTTTCCCAAAAGCATCGATAGCCAACTACGGTTGCATGTTCCACGGAACTCTTTTGGTAACGACGGAACTTGCAACCAGGTGCTTTTGGGAAACGCACCCCAGAGTGTGACAAGAACGCGCGTCCACGCACCGTCACCATGGAGACGCACAACGCCGCTACAGTAGCTCTGGTGTAGCAAAACAAAAAATACAAAACATTTAAAGCACAACGAAACTAAAAACTTAAAGAAAATAAATAAATAAGCTCTTACAATGAACAACTTGATCTGTGATATTGTATTCAGGAAACCGACAAAAAAAATAACAATAAACCACGACATATTATCAAGCGTTGCCTGCAGTCTACTTCTTTAACGTTAGACAACTAGTTGCTCTTAGTAGACAATGTGAACAGCACAGAAAAACGATATTCCCATTTACCTTGATTTCCAAACGATTTAGGCCATTTCACAGTTTTAAAGAGAGCATCTTTAATGCAGAAAGCGCTTGTGTGACAGCAGAAAGAGGGACGCACGCACGCACGCCACAGGGTCAATCACGGCCACGCGCATGGTCATGTGACACAGGGAGGCTTTTGTTGTGTGAAACCTTACTGCCTTTTTGCTTTTTTCTGGCATCTTTTCTTCCATTTTATTTTTAAAGACTTATTTTTAAAACCAGTTCATTAGGAACCATAATCCATAATTACATAAAGATTGTTATATAGGTGTGTGGCCTCAACATTAACATTTCAACATTATTTCCAACGGGAAAAAGCACAGGTGAGACAGTTCAAAACTTGACGTATTCGATGAAGAAAATACATTTATTTTTATTTAGTCTAAATAAAATAACGCCTTCAATTATATTCCTCCCCAAAACCCATAGTATTTGCCTGAAGTTCAGTGAAAAATCCTAAAATTCAGAGCCCACAGAGACGCCAAATGCAGCTGTGAGGCGAGACGTAATCACGCACGAGACGACAGGTAAGCTTATAGCGTAGTAACTTCCCACAGAGCTTGTCTTCTCATTTTAAGAAACTGTCCACATTGTTTTACTGTCCACCGTTTGACTAAATTATTTACTAGAAACGTCAAAGATTTTAATTGAGGCTGATGTAGACTGCCAATAATATTCATAATGCAAATCCAATACATGAAGCATTGTTCACAACACGTTTACTCTTTTTTTACTCGTATACAGCAGTCAAAACTACTTTGCAAATAAGACTGACATGAGATGTCAGTCCAACACTATACGTACAAACCTTCAGTTTCTCTGTTCTTCATAGAATAAAATGCACATATGAGCCATCTTTTGGCTCAGTGGTTAGATTTAAATAGCTCTACCAGCTTCATTCTCATGGATACAAGAAGTCTCATTGGTGTAATGTGATTGAAGGAGCTAGCCAATAAGGAGTTAGTACGAGAGTGCTCATTGGCCAATAGCTGCATGGATATGGTTGCCCTCTTTCATTGTCACTAGGGGAGTGTGGTGCCAAGGATGGCAATCTTGATAACAGTATGTCATGCATACTGTATTTCTCAGCTTGTCAGATTTTAGATAACACTTGCACGAGGTGCACACATCTGTATTTAGAGGGCTGCATGAATGGTGTAAATTTAATTATCTTGTGAACCTTGACACATATGCACATACACCACTGACGGTGGTTGCACTTCTTCTACGTCACTGAGGTAAATTGGTTTGCTTTGCAAGGAAGGACCATCATTTTCTTGCTGCTGTCTCCTTGGCAACCACTTCCTTATGGGCAGTCTTTGGACACACATTTACTCCCTCACCTAGTGATAAGGAAAACGTGAATTTATGACAAAGAATTTAAGTAATGAGTTTGTTTAGAGAAACTATGAAACTCTGCTATATTTAATTGTTTAAAGTGACCATGAAATCAAAATTGACCATTCTTATTTTTATCTGATCTTATTTTAATATTTATACATTTAATATTTTTATATAATTAATATACATTATTAATTTTGTTTTATCCGTGCACATCATTATTTCATAAAATTCATGTTTTTAAAATTCTCATAACCATTAATCAAAAACATGTCCACACCCCCTCGCAAGAAACAATAGGCAAGAAAAGATGATCAGCTTAATGCCGACTTACTTTAATGAGATAATTGAAGTCCTCCACTTTAAGGCCTGTCTGGCTGTTGCAGTCCACATGCTGCTTTGCATATTTATCTGTGTTTGATTCGTAAAAGCAGGATAGAGGAACAATCGTGGCCAGAAATGTCACTGACCGAACTGGGGACTGTTCAGATTGTCAAGCCTCAGTGGTGCAAGTAACCAAATCCCAAAATACATTGCTGTCATTGTCTCATCCCAGCACCTACTCAGTCACTTGTTCTACCTTATTTGACATAAATAAAAACACCTGTGGTGTACCAGACATGCTTTAGCCTGCTCGGTATAAATAAAAACACATGGTCAAGCATGTACACTAAGCCAGGATGGATTGTAAGTATAAAAATGGCGTTGTTGGAGCCAAAATCTTGTGGCCAGCACTTTGACATATGGTGCAGCAGAGCTTGCTTTATATGCCTTATTATATATTATATATATATATATATATATATATATATATATATATATATATATATATATATAGCATTGCTGTTTGAATTATAACCTTTATAGTATGGTGATGAGAGACAAAAACCTGAATGGTTTGTTTTGGAATTAACATGAACATAAATATAGGCCTGTTTTGTTTTGCTTTTGGAAACACATTTATTGACCTTTCCATCTAACATACTAATTTGCTGAAAGAAAAATAGTGGGAACAAGCAGCTGACTGCTTTGAACACTGCCAGTTTCTTCTCTAACACAGTGGCTTTGATTATGACACAGTGACGACAGACTGCTGATTGACTCATCTGCTCACGGTGCTGTCCAGAAAAGCCAGCCATACTCTCTCACTTTGTTCTGTGAGCTCTGAGTGGGGTGCTGTATATTTTAGACAAATATAGTAATGAATTCAGCAGCTTTTGCACAAGATACAATTCAAATAAGTGTTGAGGCTACATATGGGCCAGGGTGGCACTGGCCACCTTGTTGGCTGGTCCACCCAATGTATTTATGTAAAGAATAAGCAAAGATTCTGGTGGATGAGCGCTGAGCCTCCAGTTGTGCACTTCTGTTCTATAGGAAATGGTAAATGCGATGGCTGTCAATCTGAGCATTCTATCCAATCCAAGCGTGCTCCTGGAGTAAAGTCCCTGATTGGTCTTTACTCATCGTCCCTACCCACTATACCCACCCATTATACCTGAAATTCAATTTCTATTGATTGAACATCCTGACATTTTTAAATGACATTGCAAAACATTGCATCATCATCATCACCACAACACAATCGCAGATGTCCTATAGCTTTAGCAAAGAAACATGTGAGGATTATGCATTTACACTGCGATTCAATTTGCAAAAATAATACAATGTGATCTGTTTAAATATAAAATGAAAAATGTAAGTATGTAAATAAGTAAATTATACAATTGAGAAGGAAACTAAAACCGCTGATTCACTCAGCAACAAAGCAAGTGACTGCTTTTAATGGGTCATTGAATCATTTACTCAACAGATTTAAAAATGCAGATTTATTCACTAACAAAACACCAGTGTTTGTCACTTGAGTCATGCAGTGGTTCTGTTGTATCTTTTTTGGACAGGCAATATTGACAATACTGTGCCTAAAATGTAATTCACTTCATATTAAGTTCTTGTTTATTGAACATTTGTGTAAAATCAGTATCTCATTTGCAGGCAAGCTGATATTCAGGGAAAACAACACTCTTGCTCATGTCATACTGCTGAACAACATCATATGTTATAAATAAAAATAATAAATACAGGAGGATTTTTGCACCAATATCTTGAATTTTGGTGTCATTTAACCCCCATTAATTTCCAACCCTGGGTGATAATATCCACATTGTGTCTTTTGTCACTGCAACACACCTCTCGACAAACCCTTCTGAGGATGTGCAGGACAATATTGTCACACACTCTGAGCTTAAAAAAAGGCCCATTTATCCACCAGTCTACACATACTTGTACATAATGTAAAGGAATAATCAGACTAATGCACATTAATAATGTCGTTAGATAATGGAATGTTGGCACAGCTAACATTCATTACAGCTTAATTATTGCAGTCATAATGGCAGGTGATATGGTGCAGAGATATCACCTAACATGCATATACAGTATAATGAAACAATAAAACACTGTACATGTAGTCAGCCAACAGATACACTTACAGTATGGTAAAGGACTTTTCTTTAATTCTAATTTTTCTTTAGATATGATTCTATGAGGTTTATTTGAGGATTGGATGTGAACACAATGGGACTCTTTGTCTTTGTTTCTTGTGTTTGTGTGGGGTGCTACACTACTGTTTGCCTTCCCCTTTCCCCTGTCCCTGTCCAAGATTTATATAGGTACAGCCCTATTTCTCCCTTCACTGCTGATTAGAAGGTTCCCTAAGGATTGTCATAAATACACTCTATCTATTTCTAATGTACACCTTCTACAGTACATTATTCTGTGATTTTATTCCCATGCTTATGTCCGTGGATATGTGTGCTCTATAATGAATAGAATCTACAGCTCTCATCTGGCCTGGGAAACAGAGAGGAGTGTGCGGTTGTATGGTTGGTGTTTGTGTCTGTGTGAGAAGGGTTAGGGTGAATATGTCTATGTTATGTGAGAGATGCACATAACGGTGCTAATAAATCATTACTTTGGTCCACTTTCCTTTTGTAATCATGTCAGAAATCACTAAGGGCACAGATTGTATACAGTAGATTATCGCTCTATTGTCTCACCAAGCATAGAGACTCATTTATTCTGTCTCAGTGACATAGAGAGATTGTAATAAAAGAAAGGGATGGTTCATAAGAGAGAGAATGGTCACTAAGAGATGAAAGGAATAGGAGAAAAGGATCACGGATCAGATGGTAGAGAATCTTTGTTGGACATTTCAACAGTATCAAGTGCTAGATGTTTCCCTCTCTGTCCCTGCCATGCATACACAGGTGTGCATTCGTGTGTTTGAGAGAAATGTTTTTATATAAAATAGCCTTTGCACAAGATACAATTCAAATAAGTGTTGAGGCTACATATGGGCCAGGGTGGCACTGGCCAACTTGTTGGCTGGTCCACCCAATGCATTTATCTAAAGAATAAGCAAAGATTCTGGTGTATGAGAATATCCCTGCCATGCATACACAGGTGTGCATTCGTGTGTTTGAGAAAAATGTTTTTATATAAAATTAATGATCTAGAATTAAATGCTTGTGATGTGGATGGTAAATAATTAGGAATGGCAAGACAAATTGTAAGAATGATAGTTTGACTCTTGCTGATGCAAGTGACTTGCATGATTCAAATCAAAATCAAAGACACACTACAGTCAGACGTTTATCTAAGTTATTTCAAATTGTATTTTATAGCACTCAGTGTTCTTGTCTGAGTCATATTTGACCTGTTGTGAATTTGTACTTCAGATGACCTGAGTTTGAATCCTGGCTCATAGTCTTTTTACAGTCTTGTTTCCTGCTCTCCTATCCAATCCTGTCCTATTTAACAAAGATGAAAATTTTCAAACAAATATTACTTAAAAAAAATGAAAACCCTTTAAGCCACCAAAACAATAATGTGCCAAATAAAAACACGTGCCAGGTGCAGTTTCTTATATCACTATTCTAATATAAGTCCAAGGAAAAAATATCTAAATAATTATATGGTGGCTCGGTTCTGGACCCATATACTCTATATGGCTTTACATGGCATAATACAGACTTGACCTTTTCACCTTTGCAACATTTTTTTCAGAAAAGTAAACATAAATGTCACTATGATTTTATGAATATGATGTTGGCTATAAACTGTTACTAGACCACAATAAACATTCTTTACTTCTGTGTGAGATGCAGCACTAAATGAGGAGACATACTAAACAGGGATGAAGTCCGTGTGACTGGTTCAAGTGTACTAGATACAGTTGCTAAATGAGGCTACCAGTGACTGAAGATAGGATTACCACAGACTCACAGGATCTTGTGCTGTGCAATTAGATCAGGCCTCTGTTGGTTGAAAAGAGCGAGGTAATGCGCAGCTGATTGAGTAGATTGATGTGTCCATTGATTTCAGGTTCTCACTGATCACAGCACTGCACATGATATATTGTATAGGGTAAGTGATATTCAGTGAATAAAACCTAAATAACTGTACCCTTTATTTCACAGCACTATCATAGTTCTCACAAAACAAATTATGCATAATTAATGATAGAAAAATTGTGAAAATTGTACAGCATTCATTTGAAGCCTGACAGTAATTAGCAGCATTGCTCTAAATTGGCTTAATGCAGAGATGTAATCTTTATCTTTCTGCAATATTGCATTGTACAAACCCTTTCCACCTTGTAGTAATTTGCTCAGCGCTTTTCTTCCAAATGGACGAAACTGCTGGTCAACATAGACCTGTGTTTCATGCCTTGAAACATATGATGTGCTCAAATAAGCACTAAAGAAGAAAAACAAGTCATCTTTACTAATCACTAATTGGCTCATTAGTTGTTAGATGACTAGTTGACTATCTTGTCCCATCCCTGCTCTAAATGCTGAGTGTATACATGCCTATGTCCTGCTGGTGTACTGTACATGAGTGACAAGGCCTAATGGTGTTTTCAGTTACAGATCCCAGAATGCTGTACGTAACATTGCTTTGAGGCAGATTGTATTCTACTGCCTAATGGATAGTAAACCTGAGATCCCCCACACTGGCTCTCTCTCTCTCTCTCTCTTTGTTTCTCTGTCGCTCTTTTACCATGTCACACTATCCCTTCAGCAATGACATCACCACACCAAAGCCCAGTTCTCTAATCCCCATGTCATCAATCTCTCCTCACACAGCTTTTGACCGGTCAGACCGCAGCACTGACAGGTCTGGCCTCACCTGAGGAGTCAGATGTGAAGGCATTCATGGCACGCCCGTGATACACAATATAACCGTCCATTAGCCCATTTATAGCATTTTATTTGTTGTTTACACACAAATGCACCATTATAAAATACCTCATGCTGTACACACCTAATTTCACACACTGTTACTTATCTGTCATCATAGATATATTGATGTGCTCACACGTGAGTGAGACAGAAATATCATAAAGCATGATGCTGTGCTACTAAGGCACATTTTGACTTCATTAAATGATGTGGACTAATTTTACTCTTCACAGCTATTTCACAGACTAATTTTACCCTTCACAGCAATTTCACAAACTAATTTTACTCTTCAAACTGACACCATGGCATGCATTGTTATTAGGTCTTACTGGTATTATTTTTGTACTATTTATATTATTATATTATTTATATATTTAGATTTTTTATATTTCTATTTAGCTTTAATTTTTTTAAAACTTTTGTCATTTTAGTACTTCTGCAGCTTTAGTACTTAAAATTATTTATTTCACTTATTTGCCAAGGCAACATTTCCTAATTTTTATTTTATTTCAGTTCCCAAAAATAGTTTTTTAGTAGTTTTATTTTTATCTTTAGTTAACAATAACAACACTGGTCTTAAAGCAAGATTTATATAAAATGTATTAATTTTGATGGAGACCTTTTAACTTTGAAGTCAGATTTGTTTTCTGACTCAGAATATTGTTCCCACAGCAAACACACCTTGAATACACACATACATACACCGACCTCTGATCCATAGTATAATGGCAAAACAGAATTGCCCTTAGAGTTATATAACAATCCTTGAACTTTGGGTGTGAGTGCATCTGTGTTTCAATAGGACAGGTGGGGAATTCCAGACATTTCTTATGGCCCTGTCAGGAACGGACTGTCAACACTGTCTATTGGCTGTTGAGTGTTTTATGTCATTGTACATATAAGCTGTTTGTGAACTCTAATATTAGTATGTAGAGAAGTGATGCTGTCAACTTTATTGACATTAAACCTCGTACCTGACACTTTGAGAGTACATTAAGGTGTACCAAAGTCAAATTAATCAGGTTTAAATGAGGCTTTATTATATATATATATATATATATATATATATATATATATCTTGTTGGGACTTGTTCTAAGTTTAAATGGATTGAATTTTAAATTAACTTAAAACAACAGCAGAGACAATGTATAGCTCAACCAAGCTTTATTTACATGCGCAACATTTCTTATACAAACTAGATTACCATTCAAAATGGAGTACACAGGAAAAATACTCACAAACATCTAGTAGAGAAGTCATATGACTATTAGATAAGAAGTAAAAGATCAAATGTAATAAGCAGAAGGAGGTGAGGGAGGAAGGCTACGATCAAGGTGGGAAAATGTGGAAATAGCGGTATTTGCTTATTATAATGATGGGTGCAGTAAATAAAACATGTATTGTTTGAGGATGCTCAACTGGTTGTAAATGGGAAGTTGAGCTTCCCAAAGATAGCTTCCCAAATATGTACAAATATGATGTGTCAGTCATCTGGAAAAACAAGAATTTTATGGTATTTATTTTCTAGTGAAAGAGGTGTAAGAATACGTGCAAGGCAATTTTTGAGACAGTAAAAATATTGTCTCTGAAAAATTTACAAGGTTCAGATGTCTTGTAGGGGTAATTTACCAATTCATTGCGTACTGGATATCATTAGTTACAGTTTGAGTTTGACAAATGAATATGATGAAGGCAAAAGCTTTAGGGTGTGGAATCTTGGAGTAAAGCAGGTGTGTCAAACATATGGCTAAAATTATGCATTTATTTATTATATCAGTAATTTGTACTAGATTTTACTTTTTACCTACAGTAGGACAGATAAACACTTTAATTTACATTGTTGCATGTTTTTGCATCTAAACTTCTCTTGTCAATGATGTTTGATTAATATTCCCTAATTACCAAATTTGCAAGCATATAATCAAAATATATGTGAAATAGTCAATTTAATCTGCTCTGCTTTTGTTTTTACACATTATTGGTTATTAGAGCAGCTTTACTAATTTATGAAATGCATGTAGTGTGCATAAAGAGTTAAATGCATACAGTAATGTTTCATTTGACACACCTGCTGTAAGCCATGTCTGTCCAACTGCCCAATTAACAACTACATTATTTTATAACACATGGACTTTAAAAGGTATATCTGTATTAACACTAAATTTCATAAGTATAGCAGGATGTATACATATATATGCATTACACACGGTGCATATGTACATTTACATGCATGCATACAAGGACGTATGCAGTGAAGGGTAACCCTCTCCGAGGGACAGAAACACAGAACATTAGGATTTGTACATGATTTGTGATAATAGTTGAGCACAACTGAACAAAAAAAAAAAAAGTTTAATAAAGTGACAAACCCCCCCATAAAGACATCAATAAACTGACAATAACACAGGATGGATTCCTGTTGCTTCATCTCCTTACTTCAGAAGACTGTTATTCATGTACAAATGTCCATAAAACATTTTTGAAATTGTGTACAGCCAGGTTGCAGTTAATTCAAGATGAGGCCCTGATGTTATAATGGAGACCCCACTCTACCCTGAGCAATAGTGATGCATTTTGCATACAGGGACAGAAAAGTCCCCAATTTCACTGTGTGTTTTGTGATTTTGGCTGCCAGCATCTCCTACATTTTCAAGTAATTTGGCAAATATATAAAAGATAGCTTATTGTTTTTGCTCAGTAAAGATGGCTTCATGAGGAAAGGCCCATCCATCATTGAATGCCGCCATGATGCTAATTGCTAATGCTAATCAATTATACTATGTCCTCGTGGCCAGGGAAACACAGATGGCTTAATGATAGGACAGGGCTCAACACTGATTATTTAGCACCTGGTATGGCATGGAAATGTCGATGCAAGTTAATATTTACTTGTTCATTACATTTGGCTACATTTATATGCGAGAAATCCAAACATAACTTTGCTGGCTAAATAAGACGCCTCCACCTGCTACGCTTTCAATTTTACCACTTTTTAGTACAGTTACAGACAGACATCCTTATATGGTTATATTCAATCACAAAAATGTATTACTTAAGTATTATTATGAGGCAACTATATTTCAGATTGGGAACTAGGCTAACTACTGAATGGTAACAGTGAATTAAAAATGAAAGCAATGGTTTAAGTGCACTGTGTCGAGCTACATTACTCCACCTGAGTTCTGTAATTTTTCAGGTCAAGTCTCCACCTCTATATCGATCAGTGACTACACAGTTAGTAATTAGAGGATGACAGAAGTAGCTAATCATTTAACAAAAATATTAGGGAAAGCAGAAAGAGACCCCGGCCAAGGAAACTATGTTTATGACAGAAAAGCTACAACAGGCCTCTTTAAATTTCTTTTTAGATTACATCACCTCTAAGAAAGGGACAATTTCAAACATTGCATAATGTTGCATAATGATCTGTGAGTTCGCTGTTTGTTTGTTTCTCCAATGGGCAGTCTTTTGTTATAGTCTCGGTCTGCTGAACTGAAGGTAAACATCATCCGAATGTTGTAGTCAGATGGACCTGTAAACAGGCATATTATCAAGTGCTTGCCGCAGACAGCAAACTTGGCAAAGGATACTTCAAGTCTGTTGGATGTTTTTTTTTTTTTTGTGCAGGATATTTCTTTGTAGTTGTTATTCTATTGTTTGTTGTTTTCTCTGCAGTTCTGAGCCTAGATAGAGAGAAAGAAAAGTAAGTAATACTCATAGAACTGTAATAAGAAAAACAAAACACATCCTGTACAGTATAAGGGGCCGTTCAAACAAAAAGTGATTTTGCATTCCACTGCAGTACTTTTCCATTGGTTTTTCTATGCAAACATGTGGTACACAGACAGCTTTGACCAGTGTGTTTGTGTCTCGGGTCTTTGCAGCATCTCACGCATGACAGCGTTCCAAAAAATGCAGTGCTCAAGTTGAAAGCAGCTTAAAAAACTCTAGACCTTGTTTCCATTCCACTGTGCTGCATCCTGCCTTTGTCATGTTTGAATGGCCCCTATTAAAATATTCCTTTCCTAATCAAACTGAAATTTGGGGGGGGCGCACGTGCGCAGATCATGGAGTAGTCGCATTTTTCTGAGCTCCTCTCCGCTGACATTACATTTTGAATATTTTTGTAATTAAAGTACCGTTAATCCACTTCACAGTCGATAGTAACTTATTGAGAGTTAACTTTAGTCAGTTGTTTTGCGTATTTAGTGATTTAAGTGCGCCTTTCCTTATTTCGCTGATTCATTCTGTCGGAAAATGGCATCTAAGAAATCTTCAAAAACTGTTGCAACAAAGGAGGACGCCAATCCAGGTGATTCTATCTCACAGGGAAATGTGAATGCGATACTTGCCGCAATCGGTGCCCAAGGGGATGATTTGAAAAAGCTGATAGAGGACAAGATGACAGCATTAAGTGCTCGCTTGGATACGTTGGATGCTACGCTGGTTAACCTGCAATCAGAACAGGCCGGTGTTAAATAAAAAATGGTGGAGATAGAAGGTGCCCTGAACGGTACTGATTTACGCCTTGGAGAGGTTGAAAAGGTGTGTGAAGACTTGCGTGCGGAAAACAAATCTCTCTGGGCTAAACTGAATGACTTGGAAGGATGCTCTCGAAGGCTGAATCTCAAATGTGTGGGAATAAGTGAAGGTGAGGAGCGGGGGTGCCCTTCGGTGTTCATTTCTGGCTTGATTACCGATCTTTTCGGCCGAGACAACTTCCCCAAACCTGTGAAGATTGACCGAGCTCATCGGGCGCTGTTACCCAAGCCATCTGAAGGCCAAAGCCCTCACACCATTATCGCACTGATCCACAATGATCGGGATAAAGACTTAATCCTTCGCCTGAGCCGGGATAAGTTTCCTCTGGAATATAAAGGAAAGCGGATTCATATCTTCCCTGATTATACACCGGAGGTGACAGCGCGGCGACGTGCGTTTAGTTCGATTACGAAAGCTCTGCGAGAGGCTGGGTTGAAATGGTCCCTGCGTTTTCCAGCTAAATTGACGGTGCATTACAACGGTCGCAAGCTTTTTTTCGAATCTCCGGTAGAGGCTAAGAAGTTTGTGGATAACTTGTCGAATGACTCAGCGTAGCCTCTACTTACTCAGCTTGGTCCGAGTATGGACCTTGACTAATAGAAGTGGACTATTTTAACATTCTGTTAATTCTCACTGTGGTACGCGATTCAGATTACTGACTATTTGTGCAGTGAAGTACAGAAGTTTCTTTTTTTTTTCCTCTACTCCTTGTGTGTTTTTCATTATTTCTATTCTTCTTTTTGGCTAAGGTAAGCTAAGTTAGTCTTGCACTCTTGTGTCTCCGAGACGATGGGGAATACTTGCTGCTTCGGTTCATGGGGCAGCTGTGGGGAGTTCGTGAGTTCTTCATGTTTTTTGTTGCACCAGATAATGATTATTCTTGCTGTGGTTGCTACTGATTTTGTGTTTATATTTTTGAAGATGTTGTATGACTGGCACTATTTTGCAAAAGCAATTGCTCCTTTGTTGCTTAGAATGGTAAATCATTCAATTGAAAATAAAAAATTTCCTGATTCTTTTTATGAGGCTCATATATGCCTTTTTAAGAAAAAAGATAGAGATGTTACAGAGCCCTCTAGCTACAGGCCAATAACTCTTCTTAATTGCGATCAAAAAGTGATTGCCAAAATTTTGGCCACGCGATTGAATAAACATGTGGCCTCGTTAATTCATACAGATCAAACTGGAAAATTTGATAAAATCTGGGGCCCCTTCCTTAGGTATCTTTTTAAGAGTTGAATGGATAGCTTCTCTGTTTTATTCCTTCACTCCATCTTTAACGTTTTGTTTGTTTGATTACGTATGTCTTTGTTTAAGGTGTATATTTTTAATTGTATCTGGTGCCTGTTCGTGGGGGTAGGTGGGGGGTCTCTTGTTTTTTTTTTCCTTTTTTTGAGTTTGTGTATAGTATATTTTTTGTATACATTTTGTGAGACTTTTATTTGTTTTATGTTTATATAAAAACTGTTATAAATAAAATTATAAAGCAAAACCTAAAAAAAAAAAACTGAAATTTGTTTGTCTTTTATCAAATTGTTTTTTTTTTCTCTCCATGACATGGACAGCCACTGTATGACTGCATATTTTGGCTTACCTAAATGTCTGCCGTCAGCCAGGCACCCAACTTTGAGTGGATTGCTTCGTCCCGGTGAAGTTTCCCACAGGATTCAGACTAACGGCGTTTTGCACCAGTGCATCAAAGTTAAAATCCAGTCCATCAGAGTCCATTAGTTCTGAGCGAATTATGGAATCCACATCGCAATCCAGACTGCCGTTAAACATGTCCAGGTCCAAGTCTGATGGAAAACGATCTGTTCCTGAGGGGTGACAGATCCCCACCCCGTTACTTCCATTCAGGCCAGAGTAAAGCGAAGTCTCGGTCATCAACATGGAGGGCTGTGGCTGGAGGTGCTGTTTTGCGGAGACTAAATTATTAGCATTGTTAGCTAGACTTTGCACCCTGTTGTTGGAGAGGGAACGCAAAGAACCCTGGACATTGGACCCCAGTTGCTTGTTCTGGAGGTGGCTGCTTCGCCCATTGAGCACAGAACTGAAGGATGACATCATGGGATCATTACGCAGCATGAGGCCATTGCGAAGACGGGAGTTTTGAGAGGTGACAGCAGCACTGGCCTGTGATATGAGTGGGTCCGACTGTGTCATCATGACGTCACTATGACTGTGCGTGACCAGAGAATCAGAATTCAGCAGCTCCTGAAGTGAGTTCCCAAAACAAGAAACGCTAGAGAATGACATTTGCTTGTTTTCCTGGATAGTCTGCATGGGCGTCTGACGTAGGCCTCCTGCTGTAGACCCAAAAATGGTGTTACTGAATCCACCAGTGTTGTTGCTCACAGTTTGGGATGAAGAGGAACTTGTGGGTGATGTGGTGCTCTTGGAGCCAAAACTGAACGCAGAAGACCCTTGAACTACCTGCACTTGTGTGGCGATGTTGTCCAACAGATCGACCATTAGGTTGTCAGCCTCATTGAGATTCATTGTGCCAGTCAAGTCAGCTAGCCCTGGAAGTTCAGCAGGGCACGTTTTCGAGTTTGATGAGGACGACGAGGGAGGAGAAAGACTGCTGGGGCTGGAGTAGAGCATTGGAGACAGGGGTGGGCCATCTGGAACATCATCAAGCTCTGGATTGGCCAGGATAGGTGACAGGCGTCCACTCAGGGTGCTAGCGTTGGAGTTAGTTCGTGAGCGGAAGTCAGTCCAACAGGATTCCAGTTCATCGCTGCTCCGGGAAGTGGGACTTCCTGGCCACTTGGACAGACCACCAGCAGATACGTTCTCCAGCGAACCCTCCTGGGCAGCCTGCAGTGCTGCCTTTTTCTTGGCTGCACGCCCACGTGCAGTTTTGGTGTATTTGTTACCATTGTCCATGGAGACTGCACGTCGCCTTGGCGCTTTACCTCCCCGCCCCCCTTCAGGATTGATCATCCACCACGAGCTCTTTCCAGTCCCCTCATTCTGTACACGGATAAAACGGCTATGCAAGGATAAGTTATGCCGGATGGAGTTCTAGAAAAAAAGCAGACAGAGAGCAGAGAAAACGGATGGTTATTAATCATATCATCACATGATTCAGGAAATAATCACTTGATAAAAGTACATCTATCTATCTATCTATCTATCTACTTTTCAGCACTAATGAATAGGACACAAGTGGAAAATAGATGTCCTTGTGTATTACACGTACAATGTGATCTCAAGAGGCTGAGAAAGCACAATGTGCCGTGTAACTTAGCAGAGGAAACGTTTTATAGCTGGTAACCTTGGCAGAACAGAGAGGTTACATTTCTAAAACATTCTATTTTTCCCTTCAATAGTGCAGAAGGATGCACTGGGATATACAGACATCAATATATGCTAAATATTTCAATTATCATATACGTTCTAATATATACTGCGCCTTATTATTTATTATTTACAACTCTCAGACATAAAAGCATAGTTCATGTTGATGAGCACATTTCTCAACTTAAGTACCCCGTCCCATGACTCACGAGATGTGTGTGTTGAGCTATGATGAGCGATACCACGGATACCGGTGTTTACAGTGCCAAGTCTCTCTAGAGATCAATGGCATAATGTTTGTGTGTGTGAGGGAAAAGAGACGGAAGGGTATGACTAAAACCTTAATGGAGCAGCATGTTGTGAATGAAGTCATTAAAACCGATTCATTTTCTTCCTCTGCTTGCTTGGCAGCTCTAAACAAACTTGTGGCACTGACACCAAAAACAAACTTATGCCAATTACATGAAATACAATATATTTTCTCCTTTCTTTCCATGAATATACCTCTCTTATTTTAACTTTTCCTTACTGCGTAATCCTGTTCTAGATAAGGCCCTCAGGAGAAAACCTTAAGTGTTTATTGAGTGTTTGTGCATGTGTTTTGATTGTCAGAGTATCAGTGTCTTTGTGGTTGTTAACACTTTTCAGAGCTGACTCATAGCAACTCTACTGCCCTTACACTACCATAAAATATAATATTGCTTGCAGAAAAAGAAAAGGTTTGGATTTATATCCACTACATGAGATATTTATGCAGGAAGCCCCCAGATCAAACGTATCAATCCATAAGCAGTATACTTTCAATAAAATGATTGCTTACTATTCGCCACATACAAACTATGAAATGCACAAGTGCAGTGCACACGCCCTGTAAACCCTATAATTCAGAAACCACATACCCACACTTTCCTTAATCTGAAAAGCATCCTTTCAGCCTGAAACTAACGAGACACTAACAATTTTTTGGTATTTTAATGCTAAAAAAAATGACAAACTGTTGCGTTTACATTTTGTGTAAATGTCTAGTAGTCAGTATGATGTGTATGATCTCTCTGCACACGTGTGTGTGTGTGTGTGTGTGTGTGTGTGTGTCTGGGGAGGCTGTTAACTGAGCGCCCAGCTGCATACAGTATCTCTCTGGAACACAGAGACCTTTTTGTCCGTCAGCAACATGTGGTAACAATCCATCAATGTCAGCAGACACGCAATGCACACACACGCAACTATGGCTTCGCTCACATTCTTCTTCTGAGAGATGTGTTTTGGTTATCTGGTGCTCTCTGTGAATGTTATTGCTCTGACTGGTAATTTTTGTTATGTCAGGAAGCCAGTGACTATACAAACCTGTAACCAGCAGGCACTTGCCCACAAATCAACCAAACCAAAACCACAGGGATATAAACCTGCCAACCCTTACGAAAGAGTTAGACGGGACAAAATTATATTGATTAAGAGGACATTTTAAATATTGAGACAATCTAACTGTAGGTTTGTCATAATTTTGATGTTGAGACTATGGCTGAGCAATAGCTAAAATAAATAAATATTGCATACAGTAAATGTTGGATAACAAAACAGAAAAAAAGAAGGATAGATTTTTTTTTACCCTTTGACAATATTCATCATATATCTTAATATTATGTACTTAATTTAATACATAAAAAAATATCACAATAGACGTCTGTGAAATGTTAATTCACTGTGATTTATTAAATCAGAGTTTCGGATCTGGTTGATTTAAATAAATAAATCAAAATGACATTTTTGCAAATGAAGTTTAAATCAAGATGATAGTAAAACATCAGTTCCTTTGAAAGCTTGAAAGCCAGCAAAGAGCAACTAATCTCTTTCTCTTATTGGAGTTCACACACCAAGCCACATAACAAAACACAATTCACATCTTCATAAGGACCCATAAAGTCCTTCCCCCCACCCCCTCTTCATCACACACATACCCAGCATTATTTCAGCAGCAGGAGCACACACTTACTGCAGTAACTCAAGGCAGGGCCATTGTATGAATATGGGTTTGGCAGCTGAACATTTCACTGCGGTTGCCTTTCAATGACATGCAGAGTGTGGAGGGCAGTGTGTGTGTGTGTGTGTGTGTGTGAGGGTGTACACAGAAGTTACATTTCCAGAAATCTGCAGGAATATATCTTATTTCTTAGCAAACCCAAGTACTGACTTTCTTAGTATTTGGTCCATGTGTGCTTTTATGTTTGTGACCAAAAGGAAAAGAAAACATTCAGTCTAGTGTTTATGTTTCTAGGAAGGGTCAGAGCAGAGGAGAGTTAGAAAAAGACAAAAGTTTGAGAGAGTTTGTGAGGGGAAAAACAGGGCACTTGAGCAGTTTAGAAATAAATAGATATAATTAGACCAGTGTTAATTCTAAACCATTTTGTTTTAATCATAATTTCTGTCTTTTCAGAAAATAGGCAATATTTATAATAATCAATCGTTTATCTTGTCAGTAAGTCAATATATTTACAATAACTGGTTGGCTTATATATACACCACCATTCAAAAATTTAGAGTCGGTAAGATTTTTAAAAATGTTTTTGAAAGAAGTCTCTTATGCTCACCAATGCTGCAATTATTTTATCAAAATATAGTGTGAATAGTAATATGGTGAAATATGAATACAATTTAAAATAACCTTTTCTATTTACATATATTACAAAAAATTACTGTATTCTGTGATGGAGAAGTTTAATTTGAATTTTCAGCAGCCATTAGTCTTCAGTGTCATATGATCCTTCAGAAATCATTTTAATATGCTGACTGTGCTCAAGAAACATTTCTTATTATCATCAATGTTGAAAACAGTTGTGCTGCTCAATAGTTTTGTAGAAACTGTGAACTTTTTAAATTTTTTCTTGATTCTTTGATGAAAGGAAAACAGCATTTATTTGAAAAATCTTTTGTAACATTATAAAGGTCTTCACTGTCACTTTTGACTAATTTAATGCATTGTATAGCTGATATATATGTATATGTATATACATGTATATGCACAAATATGTTGATATCAAAACGCCTCTTATAAACAAACATTTTCTTTTGTCATTTCTTTGACTAGATGAACACTATCGCTGACACAGCAAAGGTAAAGAGAAAGGCAGTTTATGCACAAATGCAAGCACACACACACACACACGGTCCAAGCACACTGACCCGCACCCTCCCACTCTCACCTTATCCCATTCCCAGCTGCCTTGACTGCTGGAGAGAAGGAGAGAACATTCCATTCCATCCAACCAAAATGTTCGTTTTCCGGCCAGTACAGGACGTCTCTCCTTTTGTGTGTGTGCATCTTATTCAAAAGTGTAAGTGTGTGTGTGAATTGACTGAAAACTGTAGTGGACTGCATGTGGAGTGGGGCTCCAGTTCTCTCTGACAGTACATTCTGTGTTTTCTGTTATCTTTCTTCTGTTATTCTTCTGTTCTTTCAGAGGTTCATACTGTACATCCCAGCCAACAATATAAAAGTTTCTCTAGCTAAAAGTACAAAACACACTAATTAAAATAATTGTGCAGGTCATGCATGACTAACCAGCTAGAAACAATTACATAACTGCATGCAAATCTATGGGAATTTTTTATTCCTTTCCCTCCAGAGTTTTACAGAATTAATAATTTGGAGCCAATGTTTCCAAAACATGACCAGTACAAAGCATCTTAAGCATGTAAGACTACCCAAGTATGTGTGTGTTGTGTGCACATTGCATAATGTGGCATGTTCAAAGACCTCCTTGTTTATCCTGGGACTTCAGATCCAGGGGGTGGTGGCCTTCCCAGCCCACTCAGTTTAGCCAATCACATCGTTCATATACAGGCACGCACAAACTCACACCGGTTGTAAAGCTGACCTCACCGTAGCCTAGTATGTGTCATCTGTGCTGTCCAGCAAATGTACACAATCACTCCTAACTTTGATTTTCTCACATTTCCGCTAAGTATTTATAGCTTGCAAACACAAATATTCATATAAACATGCTTACTCTGATTCAAGAGCTTGGTAACCACTCTCATTAGCATGTCACAGCCACTGACTCATCGAGACGTCACAGCAGTATGCCTGTAGTAATAGTATTAGGTGGCAGGGAGTATCTTAGAACAACATTATGTGCATCTTGGGTACAGATAGTCCCATTAACAGGAATGTGTCATGTGCCAAAGAACTGCAAATCCCATTTGTTCAACTCTAAACAAATGCACTGGAGATGGAAAAGAGAAAAAAGGAAGGAAGGGTGGTGTTAAAAATAAGAAGGACTTTAAACCCACTTTTCATTTTTCTAAACTTTCACCATTATAATTACTCTCCAGTTCCTTTAATTTAATAAACTGATGGTATATAACAGGGTTATTATAGTTAACTAAAACCTAGAACTAAATTACTGGGGGGTAATAAAAAATTTTTTTTTATTTGAAATAAAATAAAATGTAAAAAAGCATTTTATTTCAGCTAGCTACATTCAGCATTTCTCTTTTTAATTTAATTTAATGTACTAAAATAAAGAAGAAATAAAAAAAATAGAAAACTATATAAACAAATACAAAATAATTAGCTAGATAAAATAACAAAATTACTAAACTTTTAACTAAAATTAAAATATAAAAATAAAAGTTAATTCTAAAATAAAAAATAAAAACTAATAATAAATATTAATAAAACCTATAGTATCTCAATGACATTAAAACAACACTGGTATACAATCATA